ATTTTTACTCCCTTCTAGTTTGAATTCAGCATTAAAACATTCTGTCTAATATTAATGAGTTTTTTTTAGTTAATCAGATTGTAAAATCATGTAATCTGTTGTTGGCTTTGTTTGAATCATATTTTCGCCATGCTTCTTTCTCTTACACTGTAATGATTGTCCATCTGTTCGTTTATATTATTATATACGCGTATGTGTGTGTGTGTGTGTGTGTGCGCGGTTTTACATTTGTCAATTGTAAGAATTAGCCACAAAGATCTACTGTAAGCTTTGCCAAAAAAGGAAAAACTGAATCTTGTTCACAATAAAAACATAATCGGATTATTTCAATAATAATATAAACCATTTCATTTCAAATGAGGCAAGAGGACATGAATAGAGTTAACTGGGATTGTGTTGGTTTTTTCCAGTTTGCAACGATAAACATGTATACTTTTTTTTTTACAAGCTCTACAATGAATTATTGAACTTGTTTTAATGTAGATGTGCGTGCGTGTACACGCATTTGTGTGTGTGTGTGTCCATTATTCATTCATCCGAGTAAAATGTATTCTTCTTGTTCCAAAGGCGCTATTGTAACTATTAATACACTTGTAAGGATTATTATCATTACTGTTAATATTACTTCTTGTTTTTGGCTAAACTAACTAATCACTGATACATTGTTTTGTTTATGTAAATAATTTATAATTATCGTACTGCATAAATCAATCACCCACTGGGGATGTCATTTATCTGTTGTTTTTCAAATTAAAACTTGCTTAGTCACAAATCCACTATTTATATATCCAATAAAGATAACTTTAACTTTGTTTTTTTTTTTGTATTAAACCAACGTTACCTTTAGATAACAACAAAACATTAACGATAAACAATCATGGTCAGTTGTTAACTGAAATTTCATTGATTGCAATTATTTTGGGACGATGTATGCCTAATCAACCTTACACACTCTATCTTGACACGTGATATAATCTGCTAGTGTTCAACTATTTTCATGATAGGATTGTGCAGATTGTTCAGTTAATTTATTGAAATTATGAATCGATCGATGTTAGACACTACCATTAGAAACTTGGAAGCAATGGACAACCGTTTCGTCCTGGTACGGGACTCATCAGCAGTACGTATCCACAGCTCCTGCATGAATAGCTTCATATAACTAACTGAAATAAAAGAAAGGTTCTGGTGAAATTCTCACAACACGGTTGTTCGTAGGACATAGATTATATGAAAGCATGTTCAATACATGACCATGTTATAACACACTAGATAATGAGCGAATACTCTATACTGTATAAATATCTTCACATTCTGATTACTGTGAATCCTTTCTCAAACTGTTTTTATTGTTGTTCGAACTGTGTTGTCGAACAAAATAAAATGTCTCAGAAATACTTGAAGAACAAGAGTAGTTGGTTGTTACGTAATATAAGAGAGAAATCTTCACAACGTGACCCTATACGTTAACCTAAATTGTGGGGTGATATGTAGCGAAATTTATCTATAACATGTCAATATTTGTTGTTCATTTGTCAAATTTCAGCAGTTTAAACAACTTTTTTTATAAGAAAAAATTACATAAACTGATATGTAAATTGTTATTTATAGTTTAAATTATTCTTAAATGTTTTGCTAGTAAAACTTTATTGTTTACCGATGTTAATTATATTTTATGTATGAAATAGTTAGTAGTTATGGCTAATTGAAATTCGAATATCATTGATTCTGTACAGTCATTTAGCTACGATTCAAAAGGTGGGACATTAAATTTTTTCTTAATATATAATCACTAATTAAAGGGATTCAACCTCGTGGTTATTGTGTCGTTAAGATGTTAGGTGATTAGAGGTTACCATCCCCATTCTGCACTTATTCACAAAGTGTACCTGCAACCTTGGAGTACCTATGCTCCTTGTGTAGTGAAGGAGAACACAGGTGAGAGCAACCGAATTGTATTTAACGAAAATTACAGTTACTCAGTAAAATAGGAAAACCATATCGTAATCGTTAATTTGCAAATCTTCAATCCATTGTATGACATTTCACTATACATGCGTTTCATACAAATTCCGTTGTGTTCCCACTCTTCCTTTCTTGATCTCCCCCCATCTTCTGCTGCCAGACATTACTTTGACACTCACGTCATATACTACTTATAAGTAGCGCGCACCACACTTGTGCATTCAAACTTGCTTCATCCAATTTCACAGCATGAGACGTGACCCCTGAAGTTTCTGGGAGTGCTACTGACTTTTCATGAACGAAACACAACACAACTATAAATATTATTCTGTATTGATTTGTGCTAGTTTTCAGAGACTAATCCACTTCCTGATTGAAATAATCTTTAAAATGACAGAAAAGTTTTTTTCAAAAATCACGTAGCCAATCATATTTACAATCCACAGAACTAATAATCTGTCAACTAAAACTGCACGATCTCTTTTTCCGTTACATTCAACTCCTGAAAGATAATCTTTTGTTAGAGTATCTAGTGCGTGTTGCTATGAGTCCATCCTCTTGTATTCTATTATCTCTAATTATGTATGTACTCGTCGCGTATTCCTACACAAACTCAGAACACGTTCGAATTGACTAAGTGTGTATAACTGAAACCGATAAGTAGTAAATAAATGATACGTGACAACAGAATAACAAGTTATTGCAATACAACTTGCACATAATACCATTTTGAACTTCAATTCTTATGGAGTAGTTCTTTCTGTAAAGTTAACTTGAACTTATGATTTGATACACACACACACACACACACACACTGTGTTGTTACAATTTTTATCATAGAAATGAATAATCAATGAACAGATACAGTTGCTTAACTTATTTCACTTGTTCATTTATCGAGAAAAACCCTAAATGTATGTTACTACTGTGTATTATAATGCCAATTGAAATTTAGTTTAGTTATATTTTGTGTAATATAAACAATTGCATTTATGATGTAATCAAGTGAATGGTGTATTTATCTGATTAATTATTATTATCGTTATTACTAGTGTAGTGTAGTGTAGTTGTATTTCCAACAAAAATATGCATGCGTTCTTTTTTCTTCCTTTCCAAATGTTCGTATGTTTCAAATGTTTATAAACAATTGTAGGATTGTATCGTGAAGGAGAAGAAGAAGTGATATTTTCAGAAATAGTTTATATATAGTATAGAAAGATTTCAATATTTAACCAACAAATATCATTAATTTAATTCTTGCCAATAATTCACTGCATTTCTGTAACTATCAAAGTAAAAAAACACTTGGTAGCTAGCTAGTTAACATTTTTTTACCTTTGATTTAATTGATATTCATTCGATTATTCAAATCGCTTGTAGAGAGAATCTTGATAAATTTTGACGGTGGGTTTATTAGGGTGTTACTTGAACAAGATTCATAGATTTTATTGTACAAATCAAATGTTTACTGTCTATTTTTACAGTCTCTAATGTGGTGGTATTCTGTTTCTGTTTTTTTTTTCATATGAATTACAAGATGTTATTCTTAATAGCTATTGTCAAATAATCATCATTTGTAGTTAGTTATAATAAATAGTATAAAATTAAGTTGAGTTTTATCCCAGTTTAATGTCAACTGAAGAGGAACTAGTGAAAACCAGGAAGTATTGGTTATCTGTTCAATGGTTAGTTGAAATGCCTAAGAAATGCGCATTCAAAAACCCAGCTTAAAGTATCAAATCGATCGCCACTTGAGAAGGGTTTGTCGTGGAGATTATAATGATTGTGACCGATTTGGTCTCGTATGCTGTTAAGGGTATGAGGGCGGATGTCGCTTCCCGGCTGCCCACACCGTGGGTGTTTCTTAAAGAACCTGAAACGGAAGGTAGATTAACGTTTGTCTTAGAGACCTGGGAATGTGATTACAGAACTCAAGGGAAAACTGCTTGAGGCCGGTCACGCACAGCCTTTTTATGGGTAGTATTTAAAGTGTTAGTTCCGTTCTTGTTTAAAAGGCCTTACCGCCGGAGACGGAAATCTTTGAAGTAAGGTAAGGTGTGACCTTTTTTAGGGTTCACGTTTTCCAACCCCTTTTTACCTTATGAGAAGGCAGCATAGGTGCATAGGTTGCTTGTCCGGAGGAAACACCTTTCTGCTGTCACACCTCTCTACAGTCAGCAGTACGACCTCGCCCTCAGACTATGAGTAGTTGTTTTTAGTCTTACCGTTCTCTTGTGGACCTACCTGGCATGGTAGAACCTGCGGAAACATCTATTCCAGCCGCTATAGCTTGGTTGGGTAGTCACAATAAGCAGGCCTGACCACCGCGTCAGGGTCAAGGTAGCAGGTACGGTCGGCTAAAGTATCAAATAATCTATTAATATTGTAAAACGATAAGTAATAACACTATTTTACAACAGTACAAAAGTCAAGACTATGCAACAACTGCACACCAACCTAATAGTTCTGTTAGTTGAACGCTCACCACGGGGCCTGAAAGGTCTGGGTTCGATCCTTGGCGGTGTCCTGTTGTGCACTGCCAGAAAAGTTGTATATTAGGATGAGAAACAGGTGTCGACTTTCATTGGTTTTCTAATGATACATTAACTGAGATAAATCTGTAATGAGTATGAATAAAACGACCCAACCTCCACGAAAACTTTTCAACTAAGATATAATAGTCAATTCATTAATAACTTACTTCAAATTCTATAAACTATGATTTTGTTGGAATTCAGCGATGCTAGGAATTAAACTCATATTCCCAATAAACTTGAATGGTTATTGAGCCGTATCACAAGAATAAAAAATGTAATGTTCTCATGTATTTGTTTAATAAAGAATTTGCGCAATTCACATTCAAGTACAGTTACCTTTTATTAATGTTGCAGTCTCAGTCTAAGATATCTCATTTCTTTTTTTTGTATATGACTTAAAATAAGATTACAGAACATGTTACATTCAGTTTTATTCCATTGTCCCATTTACTGTTTTGTTTTTATTTGATTTCTACTTTTTATTTGTTTACCATTTAGGTTGTAGTTAATTCAGTGTTAAAATCTGGACTTGAATATCAAATACATGGTCAATTTCATGAATGGCGTGATCCAATCACATCTAGAGTGTATGGATTACATTTTCCGGAACAAGATGATGCGTCAAGGTTTTTAAAAACAATCAATTTCACTCTGAATCGACTGTCAAATCCTGTAAGTTTTATTTTGATAGAAGGAATCAATCTTATGAATCATTTATCATGAATTCGTTCTTAGTGGAATTGATCAATGGCTGACAGTGCACTTCGTTGTCCTGTTTGGGACATGTCAGCTAGACACTCCTGCATCGGAATATTGATATATACACACACAGTTTTACATTGAAATTGAGAATCAATCATTGTTAGACCACCATTAGAAACCTGGAAGTATCGGGTGGCTGTCCAGCATTGTACATCCACGATCCACTCTCGCGTGAATCGAATCTAGCACCTTCGCGGTCTCGCATACCGACACTTAACCCCTCTAGACCGCTGAGTTGGCTGCATCCAACGGTGTTAATGTCTCACTTTGATCAATACAAGATTATAACACAACCTCACCCATCGTCTTCGGTAGTTACTGCCTACGTCCGATAGGACTGAATTCCACTGGTCACGACTTCTTACTAGAACTCATACAGCTAGTCACTACTGAGCATATTATATGATAACTCACTATAGAGTTATAGAGGTTGCTATTTAACATTGAAATTATGAATCAATCATAATATTTTAGATTATAAGATGGTTAATATGTCTTTAACTTGTTTTCATAATGAGAATTCAATTCACTTGACTTATCACACTTTTCGTTATTCATTACACATTCAATAATATTAATAATAATAATACTAATAAAGCTTACAATCTGAAGTCCATAATCTAGTTGATTTATAACAATAATTATCAGAATATATTACACACTTTCTGCATTAACATTGATTGTCCATGTTTCTATGGAATCAGATAATATTTTTAATAAATCAACAAGAAATTCAAGCAAATTGGTTATCATCTTTTGTACTTTAGGCAATATCTAATGTGCAAATAAAGTTTACTGGTCCTAGTATTGGAACTCTTAATAGCAGTAGTAGTAGTAGTAGTCGTAATCTCTAGTTCTAGGGTAGAATACCACAGGCAAGCTTATGTTGTTGTATTTGAGTCATCTTGTATATCTATCGCAAACTGTCATTAGTTTATTCCCACTACTTATGAGACCGCAACTCGCCCCAAAATATAAAGTCATACTCTACATATAAATTACCTTATAAGTGGGCAATAAACAGAGTAAACAACACTCAGTGTCTAAGTGACAATAATAAATAGCTGCTAGTGATTCAATTGGAATACAGAAATACGTGACCAGTAGAATTCACCCCTGTCAAGTGTAGGCAGTAACTACCGAAGATAATGGTTGAGGTTGCGCAAAATCCTTAGATTGATCAGAGTCAGACATCGAGACCGTTGAATAACCGGCTCAGTGGTTCAGAGGTTAAGCGTTCGCGCGAAGTGCCGAAGGTTCTAGGTTCGAATCCTGCGGTTAGCAGGAATCGTGGGTACGCACTGCTGATGATGAGTTCCATACTAGGACGAAACGGCCATCCAGTGCTTCCAGATTTTTAATGGTAGTCTAACAATGATCAATTCATAATTTCAACTTAAAAAATCCCGTATTTTTTCCCCGTCTTTCCCAAATGACTGTTGTTGTTTTACTCTAAAAAAAATGTCCAAAATTTAGTGAATGTATTTTTCATACCCCCGCCATCAGCACAACTGTCAATTTCATAAATGCTAGTCTCCAGATTTTGTTTTGTTCATTGTCAACATAAACTATTCTCTCTGTGTATATTGCATTGTATTGTATATAATGCATTATTAACATTACTTCCCCCCCCCTCTACCATACATGATTAGCTGACTGATTGAAACTGATTGATATGTATAAAATTAACCTTATCCGTTACTGATTACAACAAAATGGTCAAGAGAAATCAATTTTTGTTTAATTCTTTTCTAATACGCTATGATTATGCTTAACTTCTCTAAAGTTCATTTCATAATTTTTCGCATTAAAACTGCTGTCTGTATACATCATGTCTATCTGTTTGTGTATGTATTGTAGCAGCATGGTAATTATGACTGAGTGAATCAATGTTCAATGGCGTACGTTACCCGCATTTTATGCTGTTATTCATAGTAGATAGAAAATGAGAAGAGATTATCAAACGAAGTGGAATAAATAAATCAATACTAAGCGTTTTTCAAAAACATTCTACTATTTAAATCAATAAATTCTTAATTCTTATTAACACAGTTATATTGCAGTCAGTCAGTCAACAAGAACATAGAACTTCGTACGTACGTACATCAGTTCATGTTGCCATACCACATCAGCATACAGAGATGCAATTGTTAATTTTAAACCCCATAGGGGTAGAGGTAGTGGAAGAATTAGCAGTAACCGGAAATTTCAAGGTTCGACGATATTATTCAAGAAGCGGAATCTCATGAAATAAACTTATAAGAAAAAGATAAAGGTGATGAGGAGTTCAGAAGGTTAGGGTTCGAGAGAACACAAAGAATGAATGTACCTGTGCCATTGCAAACGGTTTTGAGTCATGTTATTCAGGGTCTCTAACTATCAATTGCTATCATCTCGCGGGCCCAAACTAGGTAGTCGACACCTACCGACATGACTTAGTCCACTTATCAGTGACTTCATGGATTTGTGCCGTGTTTTGGTTTGGCTGCCCCTAGGTTTCTTCCAACCTACTCCTACATCGCAATATTCTACCCTTGTGTTCGTCTATCTCTCTGTGTGTGTCGATTCGTATTTTATTCATTCACTGATTTTACTCATCAGTCATCAGAAATCTTTCATAACTAGTCTACTGAATCGTGTTTATTTTAATTATTAATCCTAGCAGAATTAATTGAGAAACGCTGAACTTCTACTGTCGTCTTTCTACGAATCGTTATCATCTACCAATGGGATTTGAAATGACAATTGCGTCTCTGTGTGCTGATGTGGTCCGGCAACTTGAACTGCTTTACGTACATACGAAGTTCTACGTTACTGCTAACTGACTGACATTAGTCGTTATTATCAAAAATGACGAACAACTTTTTTCAATCATAATAATTCCGCATTGTAAAGCAATCCCCCCACAAACTATCATTCACTGACTTTATTTTTTTAAAACACGAAAACTGAAAACCCGAGTGCATTGTACCTCATTTGATACTGACTAGATCTGTTTCAATTATTAAAATCCCAGTGACTGACATAATCATCTGTTTAAAAACTGTTAGAAAAAAAGGCATACGAACATTTCAGTGCGACTGTCATACAAAAAAATAATGATGTGAAAATTCCTAAACGATATTTCTCAAAAGGACGGTCACTGATCCGTACTAAATTGACCATGGAAATCAATGATCATATATTATGCTTCAGATATTACATTAAAGTGGTTGGGAATATGTATTACGTATGCCCAACGATCGACTGCCTCGACGAGTGATGTTGACTGATGTAAAGAAAGGCTAGAAGAAAGCTAGGAGCTGTCAGACCAAAACATGTCACGAATCTATGTATTCGTTGACTACTGGACTGATGATCCATGTTAGTACATGTACACTACCTAATTGGGGTCCACGAGACAATGGTAACCGATAATTTCATATCTGCTTCCATTTCTCAGCGTAGTGTGTTCTTTGGTCTTCTTTTTCTTTGGCCTTGAGAATTCGAAGCTAGAGTTTGCCTTGTGACGCAGTTGTGCACTTTCCTCACCTAATTCCACCTACAGAGCTTCCTCGTAATTTCTTACTCAGCTGCAATCTGGTTTGTTCGCTCTCATAGTAGGTTGTTGCTGATAGTGTCTGTCCAACGGATTCAAAGTATTTTGCATAGACAACTTTTAATAAACACATGTATCTAGTGGGTAATGGCTTTCGCAGTTCTTCAACTTTCCACTCCATACAACATAACTGTTTTGACTCTCATATTGAAAATCGTGACTTTGGTGTTAGTCGATAGTTGTTTTGAGTTAGTTCTAGATGTTCTTCAGTTGAAGAAATGCTGCCCTTGCTTTGCTACTCCGTGTCTTTACACTGGCATCAAATCCACCTTGTTCATCAATGATGCTGCCCAGATATGTAAAGGTTTCTTCTACATCTTTCAAAGCTTCTTCATCATCAAGTCACTGAACCACTAACTTCTCTAATTATATTATGATATTTTTTTCAAAAATCGATTTACAGTTGATCACCTCTGTTATGTGTCTTAATTTTTCTGATTTATTGATAACTTTTTCAACTGAACTTCAATACAATAGTCTTATTGATACGTTTGATTGTTTGATTTAAACAAAATAATAGTTCAAAGTAAGCTGCGGGTATTTTTGCATTGTTTGTTAATTAATTGTTGATTTTAAGGCAATCACTAATTTATTGTTTACAATAAAATGTATGTTGCTTGCATTACTGTGAGGCTTATTATTACCTGGTAATATTGATAAACTTTTTTTTCTTGATACAATCTACTTTTGCTCCTCTTACAAACTATGACAGTTGATATTGGAAATACAAAGAATATGATTATGAATTTGAATACTGCCAATCTTCTGAAGTTGGTTATCGCTCCCTGGCCAGCTGAAAATAAAACTAGGTTATTTATTAGTAGTGGTCTTTAGCAACTTGAAGGATTTGAGTATAGAGCCTTAAAAAAAATAACTTTCTTTTGTGAGTATTTTTAGATGTTTTAGCCTCGTACTCTTTATAGCTTGCGTTCAGCTTTTTCTGGGAATAACATTTTCTAATCTAGTCACATATCTTGTACAGTCGGGTAGTACATGTTTGTTAACCAACTTTAATAAATTAGTGTACCAGCCAATATAACTAGATTAGATCTTCACGATATTATGGAAGCTTGACTCTATCATTTGATGATAAGAAATATATTTGATTTCAACTGTAATTATTATTCATCCTTCATCTATCATCATAAACAGTCTACAATCTGGAAGTAATCTGTATCACTTTTCATTGTGTGGTGCTTGAACATCACTAATGACAAACAAGAAAATTAACGAGATAATTATTGTTGAATCAACCGGGGAAGATTATAATTTCAAATAAAAATAACTGAAATAGGCAATTTAAAAGTACAGAAATTATTCTAAATTCAAAATTTATTTCACTCTTCTGTTATTGTTGTTATAGTATAAGGAACTTCAGTGATTAAGAGAATGATAAAACAGTATAGATTCATTCAGGTTGTTAGTTTTGATGGGAATGTTTATAAAGTAGTTGAAAAATTATTACACGTAGGAATCATCAATCAATCACTGTTAGACTACCTTTAGAAATCTGGAAGCACTGGACGGCCGTCTCATCTTGGCATGGGACTCATCAGCACAGTGCCCACTCACAAGTTTTGCACCCACAGGATTCAAACCCAGCACCTTCGGTGGTCTTACAATGATTGATTGATTGATTGATGATTCCAACGCGTAAAGACACTGATCTCCACAACTCCAATTGAAAATTTTTATTATTAAGGTATAACATGTTTACGACATGATCTACAAGTTTCTCCTTTTCCATATGATTTATTCACATTTGATCAAGTCGTGAATCTATATATTTTTTTGTATACAGAAAATAGTACCGACTTACATTGTATGTTTGTGTTAGTTTTCTAACATTTATTTCCTATCCTTATCACTGTTCACAATCATCTGTATTTATAAAAGTTTGAAGGTTTAATTTAAATTATTTCACAAAACAAAGCCACTAATAACATGTTATTCCTTTTAGCAAAGAAAACTTTGCCAATTATAAATCATTGAGCTTTCATCATAACAGTCAACATCATCATCATGGAATCCACTGTGTAAAAATGAATACCCATCAATGTTTTTGATTGCTTAATTTTTGAACTTATCCAATTCGTATTCTTACGTAACAGATTTTGTAATGAACCAATTACTATTACATCATCACCTTATCTTTAGATCGGTTACATTTGTTGAACTTCTAAATTGACCAAGTTTTCTTAGTCCATTGACTTCATTTAAAATCCATTCTCGATTATATTTACCAAGGTATTTTTTTAAAATGCCTTTGATGTCCAGAATTATCTGTTGTATTGTGCAGTCCGATTTTGATTATAACATACAAATTCACACGATACATCAAACCCACAAGGCACGTGAAAAGGTTGGAGTAAATTGATAAGTGTAATTGCCAACTTGAATTACAATACACACAATCAGTAGTATGCGCATAGTTTAATTTTATTTGAACTAGAATAGGACATGCAGATTTGACACCTTGACAAGCTAGCTGTCTAGCCAAATTCCTCCAATAGCGTTTCTCGTTTAAATTTTTTTTTACGTGCCATTTGACCTTGAGATGAGACAGCTGAGCGCATGCACTTGATGTACCTCTAATATTTTATTTTGTCTCACCTCTCCGCATCACACACACATTCCATGTGATTGATTGTCCATTCTTTTTTTTTCAAATATCCAGTAAAAGTGCATTTTGTGGGGGGTGGCGGGCGGTGTTTTTTATAAATGATCATTAGGGATTTCATTTCGATCAGCTGAAGCTAACTGTCTGAATATATATCTTCCATGAATACGCCACTACATAGCCTAAAGCAACATTCATGCACAGAGTGAACCGACGATGCATGATATCGTACATAGGTTGAATATTATCACTGTCACTTGTAACCCAGACATTTTAAGCAACTCTCTCACTCTCTCTGTCTCCCTCTCTAAAATTAATTTTCATTGTCCATAAATGATTTAATTGTTTTCATAATTCTATATTTTTAATTTTTATCAATAAATAAATAACATTATGTCCAGGACAGTAAAAATGCATTGGATGTTGAAAATATAAACATAAATTCACAGTCATGTGAATATGCACAACCGTTTATTTCTAATACATTGGATTCATCCAACAATCATACAACTACAACTACAATAATGACTTCTAATACAACGACGATGACAACAACGACAACTAAAGGTTGTAGCATAATTATCCAACAAATCAATGGTGACACTGGTGAAATCAATGCCAATGGACAAATAGAGAATAATAAAACTAATTTACCGTAAGTTTTTAAAGCACATTATTAGTTTATATGTGTGTTGTTTGTTGAATTTTGAGGTGATTGAGATTATCGCAACTGTGACTAACTTTCTGCCAATTCCTGGCCAATTATTCTGAATGGGGAGATAGTTTATGAGCATAATCAATGAGAATCTATTTAAGTCTTCTACAAGTTACTTTTGCTTGTAGATCAACCATGTCCTTAAACCTTCATAAGGAATAGAATAGATTTTTTTTTCCCAGTCGGCCTATATTTTATTTTTCTTTGGTTAGGGTCCAAAGTGTTGAAGGTGTAAGGATTAGGGGGTTTTAGAGTTAGAGTTTGTCGTCATAGACTAACATCAACTATACTATGAAAAAAAATGTTCTGTAGTCAAGTGTATGAATACATGGAGCTCGAAAATCCAAAAGATTATCATCCGACTGTTCCTTTCATAGGTTATAATTCCCTCAAAGAGAAGTTCTGTTTTAAGTACTAAGGGTTTTTAGGGTAAATAATTTGAGGAAAGTGTTAATTCGCCTACAGAAATTGATATACAACACTTGATACATTCAACACCATCATTGGTGACCGAATGTAATTTGAAAGTTTTATGCAGTCAATATATATATATAAAAAGAGAGTGTTACTGTTTACTTTGTCAGTCAGCAGTCATTTATAGCGAAGAACTTCGCACGCATCCACGACTCCTGCACCTCGCAGGATTCGAACGCCTGACCTCTAGACCACTGAGCCGGCATCCGACGGTGTTAATGTCTAACTCTGATCAATATAGGGATTTTGTGCGACCTCATCCATTTGTCTTTGGTAGTTTCTGACTACACGACCGGGTTTAACTCCACTGGTCACGTCTTCTCACTAGAACTCCGGGAACTTCCTCACGAAGCTAATCACTAAGTTAGCACATTTTATTTAACACAATGTATATATATATAACACCTTGAATATTCATCATTTTTCCAATTATTCAACTAAGTATTTCCTATGTTCAATTACCCATCTGTTTAGTTGTTAATAATAATAATATATAAAGAATTAATTCCATTAGGAAATTAATCAGTTCAACTACTACTCTTGGCAAAAACTACTTGCTTTAAAATGTAATTAAGCCAAAGTGAGTCTCGTTCAAGTGTTCATAGAAAAAACATTTGTAAGTTTTTTAGTTAATCTCATTCGTTACAGTTTTTATTTTTAAAAAACTACTTTTGCTTTCATTCTATTGGATTGTAAAGCAGATTATTTTACTCATTGACATGACTCATTTGCTTACTCACTATTACCGGTTGTTTTTGTATTCTATTGTATTTTTTTTGTTTTTTTTTCGAGTTGTTGTTGTTGTTGTTGTTGGCGCCAATTTTTGTTTTATTTTACACATTATTCATTGAATTTCTTTAATTCAGTTTTATTCAAGATTGAACAATACAATTTTGTATTGTTTTATTATTCTTCAAATAAATACACTATTAATTATAAAGCATTACATTATATAAGTCTATATATATATATATATATATATATATATATATATATTACTTACATACTTACACCTGTTACTCCTAATGGTGGAGCCTAGGCCACCGACCAGCGAATTATTTTTCCTAGTTAACGTTTTTCTGAGAGAGTTGGATTTCTATATGATGAGGTCGCCTACCCCATGCCCAACCCCTTCCTCCTTTCTCCGGGCTACGGATCGGCAGTAACCCTAGAAGGCCTACAGGCGGAGCTTCTCTCTCCCTCTCTCTTTGTAGGAAAATAGTTCATCTCTATAATACCATTAGTTTACAGCTTTCATGCTTTACTTCTCTACTCTTCCATGATGTTCATTCGAATCCTAATTCACACTAATAAATTATAGTTATTTCTTTTCAGTACACGAAAAACGCTCAATAAAATACACTAAAAATCAGATTATGTCAAATTATTTGAAGATTTATTTATCATCATTGGAAAAAGTGTTTTGAAAACAAAAAAAAAGAAAACTCCCGAAACCTAACTAACTACTTTTACTGACTTAGTTTATTTCTTTTCAGTTTCTTTTTTTCGCATCCTACAAATTCTTGTTTTTGTTCACATTCAATTTACCCCCCTAAGAGTTAGTTTGTCTTACTTATTATTTACCGTTTTTTGTTCATAATCCTTTTAATGTGACTTCATATCAATTCTTAAGGTCACACTGTACGTAGATTTATTTATACTTGTCTATGACTTGCTTTCAAATCAATTGTCTCTAGTCTCTATGCGATCAATTATCATTGCAAGATTTATGTCTTGACCTAGTCAGGGCTTGATATGATAGGTATGGAACTATGGACCTGGACAACACATCAAAATGTTATGTTTTAATAGTTGAATTACAAATCGATTGATAATAGGTAATCAACTGAAGGAAACTGTCAGAATTATTTCTGGGCAGAGTTTTGGAGGTTTGTGTTTTTACACATTTGAAATCATCAATCAATTATTTGGCAACAGTAACTACCAAAGACAAATGGATGAGTTCGCGCAAACATCCGTAGATCAATCAGACTTAGACATCAATTAACACCGTTGGATGCCGGCCCAATGGTCCGATAGTTAGTCGTTCGCGCACAATACCGAAGGTCCCGGGTTCGAATCCTGCGAGGTGCAGGAGTCGTCGATGCGCACTGCTGATGAATCCCATACCAGGACGAAACGGCCGTCCAGTGCTTCCAGGTTTTTTAATGTTGGTCTAACAATCATTGATTGATCATTTCAAATGTGTAAAAACACAAAACCTCCAAAACTCTGCCCGAAAATATCGTAACAGTGCTCACTAGTGACTAGCTTCGTGAGGAAATTCTCGGAGTTCTAGTTGAAAAGACATGACTAATGGAGTTGAACCCTGTCGGGTGTAGGCAGCAACTATCAAAGATAGTAATTCTTTCACTGCGCAAATGATTATAAATTAATCGTAACCAGTGAGTCACATCTTTTGTATGCAGTCCTGCATTATCGCACTCACTGATAATGATACAACTTCATAACTTGCAGTACCCATTTTTGGTTTAAGGAGTTGAATAATATCTATACCCTAACTCAAACACACAATACATGTACATCTCAACGTATTGTACACGAACACTTCCTGATTTATCGATTACTCAGAGTCACTACTGTGGTTTACGTGATTGACCAAATTGTTTGAATACTCCGTGTATAAACATAACAGTGATAGAGATGTGTGTGGGACTAAGTAATTTAGATTTCAACCAAATAAATCTTGAGATTAATAAACTTATCAACTCTCAACAAAGCAAAATATATCTTTGTGGTATCAGTGACAGTTAGAGAGATGAATGAAAATTCAATCCTTATCAATTGTTTTCTGTAAAAATGTCTACTGCACACTGTCTCTTCAGTTTTAGTTTCACATCAATTTGATATCTTTCATATTTCATACAAAATAGTGCAATTATAGCTTTTAGATCACAGTAAGTTCAAAGGCAAGTTTGTTTGTTTGGGTTTTTTTTCAATGTATATATGATTTCACTTCTACTTGAATATAGAGCTAAAAAAGCTTGTGAATTTTAATGGTCAAATAATCTGTCACAGGATAGACAAATGCTTCTCTTCATCATGAAACAATTGGTCACGATCAGTTATCACAGTGATATCAAGTCAGTCTTTGTTAGTGTTATACAACCTGTGTTCAATGGTGTGCACTAAGGTTGTTTATTCAATTCCTGGTTATATGAAACTGAAATCTCCTTTTATATATTCATTAACAATTTGTCCTTACCCTTAACCTTACCTTGATAATATTGATTTATTGCCTAGTGTGGTTTACACATTGTTTACTTCGTTTCTTTTTACCTTCTAAGCTATCGAATTGACCTTAGTATTTCATTCATATATGTATAGTGTCTTGATAAGTTTTATATGTGAACAGATTGTTCGAAATGTATTGCGCAAATATATTGCACAGTTCTAATTATAACCTTCATTTCATTTTCCGGATTTATCAAAGAGACTTACCGTAAATTAAATAAAACCCAATTTAATACCTGTAATTTTTATGTGGTAAATTTTGTTTCTCACTAATACCATACTTACGTTTATGACGACGCCACGTAGAACATAGAATGCCGACCGGGATTATATACAACTAACGTTGTCCTAGTCTTTCCTTTCCAATTCCCGAGTGGTATTCATTCTTTCGATGTCTGCCCCAGCGCAGTGTGTTTCTCGGTCTACCCCTTTTCCTTTGGACTTGAGCATTCCAAGTTAGGGCTTTCTTCATGATGCATTTTAAGTGATTTCATCAATGTATGTCCTATCCATCTCCAAATCTTTACTTTGTTTGAACTGGAAAGTTTGACTCTAGTATCGTTGGTTGACAGCTGTCTTGAGTTCCAGATATATTCTCTGATTGTAGAAATGACCAACCCTCCCTCCTCCTTTATCCGGGCTTGGAGCCGGCATTAACCTCAGAAGGACTCCAGGTGGAGTTAGTAATTGAAACCTTTGGAATTTTATTCCATCGCAGTTTAATTTGAACAGTTGAACAGTCATAGTAGCAGTACTCAGTCGAAAAATGTAACTCAAAGTCCATAATTCATAATTATGTACATAACTACTGAATTTCATTGTTATATATATTGAATTCTATGTTAATGTGTATTCATCACTATGACCATTATCCTTACACTTTAATTCTATTTTTAAAAGTAAATCATTCTATATTGATTGTTACTTGATTGCCTGTCTCAAAACAGTGCGCACTGATTTTTCTTCACTAAAAAAATAATACATGTTCATACTCGATTTGAAGTGTATATATATATAGAGAGAGCTTCAGTTATATTTTTTTAAACTGACAGCTGCTACTAATTCTATTTAATTGTGTTAGAACCATGTATACCTTTTTCTAAATGGCGAAATCAACAATTTTCTGAAACATTTTAAATCAAAATAAATTATCAATGTGAAAAAAAGACATCAATTACACATGTGTACATATTTTCCGTTCAATGAATTTTATGCTCTAAGTGACATTGACCAAAACGTTAATTTACCAGCTACAGAGCACTAAATAACAATTTGATCTAGTTTAAGACACAATACACAAGATCTAAATAAGTTCGAACCATTGATTCCTGTAGTTCGTTCAAAAAACATATTTGGACTATTCAAACTGGAATCCAATGAGATTTCAATTACAAACTTTCCGTCAGTTTATATCATGAGAAACAATTATCATCTGATGTCATCGGCTAAATAAGCATCTTACCATAAATCAGGTTGACGTCATAGTTCATGAAGTTGTTACAGACATTTCAAGGAATCCTTATCAAAATTAATTTTTAAAATGAATACCAAGTTTGTGAAGATTTGGTCGATTTGAAAATAGTTTAACATGTTAAGTCACACAATCACATTTTCCAACTTCATTTGATTATTATCACCCAACCCTAGCTGCTACCTTAATTTGATGGTTGGGTTTTTCTATCTTGATGACCGAACTGAGCTATATTGGCTAAAACATATGTTCTTTTAGGTCCTACCATACCAGGTAAGTCGATTAGCGAACAGTAAGATTGAAAGCACTCACTCAGGGTCTAAGGCCAAGGTCTTACTGCTAACTTTAGAGGGGTGTAACAACATTGAGCCGTTGTTTCCTCCGGACAGCCAGCATCCGCAGTTGTGCCGCCTGCTCACATTGGAAGAGAAGGGCTAGGAAAGGTCGACCCTAAAAAATTTCACACTTTGCCTCACGGATTTCCATCTCTGGCAGTAAAGTATTTTAAAGAGCGCAGCTAACACGTTTATATAAATAAGCTGTGCGTGACCGACCTCATGCAGTTGTCCCTTGAGCTCTGAGGTCATGCCTTTCAGGTTTCCAAGACCAATATTAATCCAACTCCCTTTTTAGGTTCCTCAAGAAATATCCCTCCATAGTATGGGCAACCGGAAATTTACATCCTACCTCATACCACCCATAACAGCACACGAAATCAACCTGATCACTATCAAATCCTTCTATTTGTTTATTACACTGTAGACTATTATCATATCATCACAGACGCAATCAATTAATTTTAAATATCTTCAATGTTCAATAAAAATTATTTTATATTAATCACATGTAAATAACTACTAATGAATTGAAATGATTTTCTAATCCGATTACGGGTTTTTTTTTCTGAGTTTACCACTGAATTAAAGTATATGCATACACACGTTTACTCTTATCAAATCAGTAATTTTTTTTTCTTGTAAAAATTGATTTTTGATACAGCTTGTGCTTTTCTCTCCCCACAATCACTAACTATTGTGATATTGATATAAATATTCCTGGTACTATTGTAGTGAACGAGAACACAGGTGGGGCAACCGAATTGTATTTAACGAAAAATTACAGAGTTACTCAGTAAAATCGGAAAACCATATCGTAAATCGTTCATTTGCAAAATATCAGTTCATCATATCGAACTGGACTGTTCCTGTTGCAAAATATCAATCCATTGTCACTACTATTCATGCGTTTCATACAAATTCCATTGTTTTCTAACTCTTCCTTTCTTGATCTTCCCCCCATCTTCTGCTGCCAGACATTACGTTGACACTCACGTCATATACTACTTATAAGTAGCTCGCACCACACTATGACAAACTATAGTAAGCAATAAACATCGAGCAGTTCACTTCAGTATGATTGATTGATTGATGATGATGATACACTTAATATTGTCGAAAGATATTTCCTATTTTTTATTTCTGGTTTATTTCAGAAAACAACCAAAACCTAATGAACTGATAAATTATAATTATCCAGATCATGTTAATCAATCGAATGAAATCAATAAACTGATCACTAGTGATGATAATAATAATTGTGGTAGTAATAAAGATGTGAATACACTTGAAACACATCGTCGTCAATTATCTTCAGCATCATCCATTAGTTTAGGTTATGCTACAGGTCCTGGAACATCTGCAGCTCCTTCTTCGGCCTCATCATCATCGGCTGGCTATGGTTATGGTTATGGTTATGCTGGTTCAGGAAGTTTAGCCAGTTATGCAAGTACTAGTAGTAGTGGAAGCAGTATTGGTAATGGTCCAACAATGATTGGTAATTATTTAGGAACAATACATCGTCTTGGTAGTCAACATTTAAAGAATCCACCTTTAACTGGAGAATCTATCATCAACAACAACAACAACTGGTTAGGTTTGAATTCTCAAGGTCAGTGTTATTATGAGTGATAATAATTTGAATTTTTTCATTCATAAAGTTTTAATTTAATTTAACTTAACAAAATATCATTTCCAGTTAATGTTTTCATAACCATATAAGCTGCATCTCTTACTGCCCTATGTCATATGGCTTTTATACCATAAGCTATATTGCTATATACAGAGCTGAAGGTTTGTTTCCTAAGAGACCAGAGGTTCATTATGAACATTGTGGATGGTTTGGCATTACTTAGACGCGTTTCAATAATAGTCCATATGCAAATTTGGTTCACAGGATGACCGATTTCATTCATACTATTGGTGGCTGTGTTGCAACATTCCTGAAGGTCATTGTCATTGGGATGCTGTAATGCATATATCACCATTGCTGATTATAATTAATTTGACAGTCATGTTAGTGGGATGGTTCAAATTAACCTATAACTGTTGTGCATATAGATTGATTTGATCCTAGATCGGAAATAATTACTATACTTATTGGTATACATAAACAGTGTGCATTGTCTACCAAGGTATCAGTTACCGGTGTGGTTGCGCAGCAGGATTCAGTTGTACTATTCAGGTTGTAGTGTTAGCATGTGGACAGTGTCTGGTTCTCCTGAAAACAATAACAATTTTCAAAAGATATAAAGCACTAACTCAACACGATAGCATGAAATAAAATGTGGTATTAATGAGTAAACATTATCATTTGTGTCTTTTTCATTACAGAGTGATGGGGATTATTGAGTTTCATTAAAATGATGAATCAGTTCATTGTTAGACATCCATTAGAAGCCTGAAAGTTAATCGATTAAAATTAGTCGTCTAGAGATGAGGCGTTCAGTGGCGCCAGGCCGAAGACCCTGGGTTCGATTCCAGCCAGCTGGGATTTTTGGATGATGAGTCCCATACTAGGACGAAACCGCCATCCATTGCTTCCAAGTTTCGCTTGATGATCTAAAACAATGAACTGATTCATCATTTCAAAGATTATCATTTTTGTATTAACTTAACACAATCATAACATTGATTTTCTTTTTTTTGCACTCATTATCATTCTTGGCAGTTTCTCATGAACCAATTGATCATTCAACTATTATTATTAATACAATGAATACAAACAGTTCAAATTCACCATCAACAATAACATCTTCAATTCCAGCTAATAATAACGATGAAGAATTAACTAAACAATCTGAATCATCTGGTTTAGCTGCTATGCTACAAGAAGCGATTGCTGCACGTAATCGCAGTAAACGCAATCCTCCTGGTGATGATCATTCAACCGAAACCAGTGTTCATTCTTCAACTTCTACTGTTGTTAATAATAATAGTAATCCGGTAATATAATTATTATTCATTTTACATTTATCTATTCCTGTCTTATTTAATCACATAGAAATTTCTATTGTTATTGAAATCAACTAACCTGATGAATCATTAATGTTCTTGTTGGGTATAATTGTCAGTAGTATAGTATAGTAGTACAGTATAGTATTGGTAATGCGATGAAATCAAATACAATCAGTTATCGATCAGTTGTTTAGATAATCACGAAACTAGATTTAATAAATAATAAATAAGCTTGTGGAAAAAAATAAAAGAAGCAACTAATATGCTGATAAATGTTTACATATTTTAATACAGTTCTTGGTTAGGGTTCAAAGTGTTGAAGGTGTAAGTATTAGGGGGTTTTAGAGTTAGAGTTTGTCGCCACGGACTAACATCAACTATACCATAAAAAAATGCTCTGTAATCAAGTGTATATAAATGTATTAAGTTCGAAAACCTTAGAGATCTCATCTGACTATTCTGTCCATAGGTTATAGTTCCCTCAAAATGATGTTCTGTTTTAAGCACTAAGGGTTTTTAGGATAAATTATTTGAAGAAAGTGTCAATTCGCCTACATAAATTGACACACAACACCTGATACGCTCAATACCATCATTGATGACCAAAAGTAATTTCTCATTGTTAATTTGAAAGTTTTGTGCAGTCAATATATATAAAAAGAAAGTGTTACTGTTTACTTTGTCAGTCAGTCAGACAGTTACAGCGAAGAACTTCGTACATACGTACATTAGTTCAAGTTACCATACCACATAAACACAGAGACGCAATAGTCAATTCAAACCCCATAGTAGGTTGAGGTAGTACAGATATTGGCCATTATGGAGATTAGGCTTTGAAGATATTGTTCAAACAGTATAATCTAGTGAAATAAATTTAAAAAGAAAAAGATAGAGCTGATGAAGAATTCCGATTAGAACTTGAGAGAGCACAAAGAGTGAATACACGTGCACCATTGCAAACGATTTTAAGCCATGTCATTCAAGCTCTCTCACTATTGGTTACATCAGGTTATTTCCTGTGTACAATAAATTTTATATTTAGAGAATGATTTTTATCATCGTTTTTTGGCACAATATTAAGCATATCTCAGCTCAGTACACAAATTTCAATGCCTTCCAACATCATTATTTCTCTAATAGTTGTATACCATTTTGTTTATATGGCCTGTCATCTTGACTAGTGGATACACTTCTTCGACTAAAAATATCAGCCATGAGTTGAAGCCGAAATCAATGATAAAACCTAATTTTAGTTGAAATACATTTACCCTTGTTTGCTTGCTTCAATGCCAGAATAAAAATTACAACACTACAGGCTGACAATTAATAAGTGATTGATTGTATGTCTGCACCCGAAATTTGTTTGAAACAAAATTTATATCATGTTAACATTTTCTAGATTTCACAGTTGTTTCATTTCACTCAAAGTTCTTTGATGAGCAGATATGTATATGTGTTCAGTAGGATCGCCATACCACAACATCATAACAGCCAGACTAAATATTCAAAAGATGAATACTTAAAGTGATCGAAATAATATGACAGTAAAGAATACTGTAACTCTAAATGGGTAGGAAAAGTAAATACATGTGCTCTGTTATGACTATATCACTTGACATCTTCACCAACTGACCTTAATTATCATGCTAGCTAGCCTCAAGTATGATGATAGTTTATATCTACCCTAACACTGCTTAAACTAACAGTCAATGATGACTGCATGAATTGATGTCACGTTCTGGCCTGACTGGCATTCCAGTTTACACGTTGAAATCATTAGTAAATTATTATTAGACCACCATTAGAAACCTAGAACCACTGGATGGCCATTTCGTTTCAGTATGGAACTCATCAGTGGCAGTGCGCATCCATGACTCCTGCAACTCGCAGGACTCGATCCAGGACCTTCGGTTTGCGCGCAAACGCCTAACCACTGGACCGCTGGACCGGCATCCAACGGTGTTGATGTCTAACTCTAATCAATATTAGTGGGTGTAGGAAGGACTTGATTTTGACCAATTCGATCTCGCGTGCTGTTACGGGTATGAGGGCGGTTGTCATTTCCCGGCTGTCGTTAGGAAACGAGTAATAGGTAAGGATGGCAGATCAATAGATGAAGTAGTGAAACTTCATCAGTTGAGGTGGCTAGGACATGTGTTACGTATGCCTAACCACCGACTGCCTCAACGAGCTGTTTTGTGGTGTAGGAGTAGGTTGGAAGAAAGCTAGGGGTGGCCAAACCAAAACATGGCACAAATCCATGAAATCACAGACAACTGGACTGAGTCATGTTGGTAGATGTAGGCTACCTGGTTGGGGTCCGCAAGACGAAAGTCATCAATTGTTAGAGACCTTGAACGACATGGCTCAAAATCGTTTGCAATGGCGCAAGTGCATCCATTCTTTGAGCTCTCTCAAATCCTAATCTTCTGGATTCGTCAGCACATCTACCTTTGTCTTTCTAACCTTATCTCACTGAATTATACTTCTTGAATAATATCTTCAAACCCTAGTCTTTTTCATTACCGCTAATACCTCTTCTATCTTTATCACTATGGGATTTGATTTGACATCTGCATCTTTGTGCTAATGTGGTATGCAGCCTGAACTTATGTACATACGTACGAAGTTCTACGTTGCAACTGACTGAATGAACTCTGATCAATATAGGGATTTTGCGCGACCTCACTCATTTGTCTTCGATAGTTACTGCCTACGCCGTTGGATGCCGGCCCAGTGGTCCATAGGTTAGGCGTTCGCAATGGTAACCTATATGTACTCTAACGCAACTTTAACAGTCATTGCTGACTGCATGAATTGATGTCACGTTTTAGCCTAATTGGCATTCCAGTTTACACTGATCATATTACTGATTGTTTTTTTATTTCATGTAAATTTATCTCTCCCTCTCTCTCTTTTAGATGATTTCAACTGCAAAACCTCCACCACCGCCGCCGCCTCCACCCCCGCCCATATTGTCATCAGTTACTCAATTAGACAGTAGCAACAAGAACAGCACAATGAAACGTACCGATTCAGCACAGCAATTAAGAAAAAATTCTATTGATCAAAAATCTTCCATGCTAGCTGAAATTCAACGTCGTATACAAGCTAGACGACAATTGATCGATGCCGCTGAAGGAGAACAAGAATGTAGTCTTAGTAAAAAAGATCATCATTTAGAAGTAAGTAATTTGTCTGTTTGATTTTATAAAATGAGTTATTATTATTATTAATTATTGTTTTTCTCAGTCATTCAACAACAATGTGGAATTTAGTACGTACGTACCTCACTTCAAATTACCATACCATATTAGCACAGAGAGATAGATTGTTAGTTGAAATCCCATTGTACTAGAGGTAGTAGTAGCAGCGTTAACGGTAACCAGTACAATTTACAATCGAAGATATAATTCGAGAAGTATAATATTTAAGTAAAATAATTACTCTTATTTCACGGACCCTAACCAGGTAGTCTACATCTACTAACATGGTTCGTTGAGGGAGTCGGTGGTTAGGTATGCGTCACACATGTCCTGATCACCTTAACTGATGAAGATTCATTACTTCATCTATTGGTCTGTCAACCTTACCTAGTACCCGTCTCCTAAAAACAGCATTGCTTTTACTCGATTGTCCAAGGATATACGAGCAATGTTTTGAAGATACCTTGTTGTGAGCGAATCCAGATAACAGATTGACTATGCTCACCACTAAATGTTCCATACGGTCGCGTCACGAAAAGCAAAACAAAATAAATCCATAGTTCAGTTGTTTATTGAAGGAGAACGTTGGCATTACATGGGGAGCAGCAAATAGAGAAAGATGGCGGCAACGCGAAGAGAATGTTGCGCGCAAGAAGGAGTAGAAGTGTTTTTGGTACAGTTAAACAAAACGAGTACAATAATGTTTACATTTCAAAAATCTCATTTTCTTCGTAGAAGCGTTCCACTACAACCTATGATCAAATCCTAGCAACCTACAAATATCCCCTACTCTTGCTGGTCATGTCCCACACCCGTAAAGTTGGATAGAACGAACTGCTGCACAGTAAACTCATCGTTTGTTAAGCAGACGAACCTCTCTCCAATGTCACGGAAGCTGGTAAAAGCCAATCGAGCCTTTTATATCCGTGCCGAGATTTCGTTAGACATCAGGCCATCAGAACTGATGAGACTCATAAGATAAATGAAGTCATCGAAAGGCCCATCCCCTGTCGCTAGTTCAGGTTACCGGCGCAAGACGATTCTGAAACATCGTTTTCCATTTCAAGGGGGAGAATCACAACCCGGAAGATGCTTGCATTGTTCTTATAGTCTGATATTCAAAATGCGACGATTGGAACCGATGAAAACTTACCAGGTTTTAAATTGTTTATGTGACTAATAACGGTTTAGTTATTTTTTTTTATTTTATTTTGTAACTTGTTCATTATTGCTATGAATTCGGTGTTTACTCACTGATCTTATAGATAGTTCACGTTACTAGTGCTTCTTGTTGTTTTACTGCAGATGTAGTTGAACCAATGTAAATGTATCTTGGTTTGATACTAGAACTTTGCAAATCTACCCGTTGTCTACTTGAATGTTTAGCTAATAAACCTTTTTTACTTTTAATATCTTGCCTACATTCTAGTTATCTGCATCTTCCTGTGTGAATTCTGAAAAGAATACCGGTGGTTCATTGACTAATAATTCATCAGTAGACTCATCATTAAATAGGTAAGTTGTTCAATGGTACAATGAATAAATATGTAGATGCTTTTTTGTAAATGAATATATATATATATATATACATAATATAGGGGAATATGACCTTTATTGATTTTGAAAGTAACTACAACCGATTTGTGCCCAGTAAAATCTTATACAGATCCAAAAGAAACATTCACGTATAGATTCGTTCATATGAAACTGTGGAAGATTTATGTTCTTGAAACTATGCAAAAGGTTTATCAAGTTTAGGTGCATTGCTTACTTACGCCTGTTACCTAAAACAATGGTTGCTCTGGTCTTCAGAAGTGTCATCGGCCTCATGACTTCCAAAGGAACTCGGCTTTCATCATCATGAGACGTCATGAATGAAGATCTTCTAACTCTCATGGCAGAGTTTAAATGGTTTGAATTGATTTTTCCTGTTTAGGGTTTTTTAGCGAGTTATTTTCCTATGAGACGGGGTTGTTAACCCCATACCCTACCCTTTTCCTTTAGCTGGGCTTGGAACTGTCAGTAGCCCCAGAAGGGCTCCAGGCGGAGTTATGCGTTACCTACAGTTTGCTACAGAAAGAGTTGAGTATTTGATGCGTTTAGCATTATCCACTTCACTCTTGACAAAACAAATCATTTTTATTTCACTGTGAAACGGTGCTGTAGAAATGGTGCTTTTTTTGTCCCGATCGTTGCTGGTACCTTGACGTAATGGTTAGGCTTGCCTATCACAATGACCCGATCGAGTTATGTTGGCTGCAATACTTAACCCTTTAGACTTTACCATACTAGGCAGGTGTGCTAGAGAATGGCAAGAGTAAAAGCACGTACTTAAGATCCGAGGGGGAGGTTACACTGCTAACTATACCGGAGCGTAACATCAGTAAGATGTTTCTCTCAAACTACGAGTATCTCTAGCGGTGCTGCCTTCCGTCAAAGGAGGTAGGAAATTTGAAATGGTTGACCTTAAAAACGTCACTTTCCCACTTATCCCATGAATTCCTGTCTGTGGCGTAGGAGTTTTGATGTACGGAGCCAACATATCGAAAACTTACTTAGAAATTATCCCACCTGCTCTAAGCAGTTGTCCCTTGGAATCTGCAGTAAAGTTCCTGAGTCCTTAAGATCACCACTTAGTTCCCTTTTCATTTCCCCTCAAGAGAAAGATCCTTCCAAAGTTCGGGTGACCGGAGAGTAAGAAGAGTCTTCATACCTCTACTAATACCCGAGATCATGTTGTTCACCGAGAAGTCCCTCTGTCACTTCCTACTATTTCTTCTGTCCTCACTATCGATTCTTCTCTTATACCCCCTTAATCGAATTTACTGACCACATCACAACTCGATCGATAGGATTTAATGAATAATGCTAAAGAATGAACAACATGACGTTGGTCGTATAGTGTAAGAGTTTACGAACATCAAGTAAAGTAATTTAACTCCCTTTTTTGTAGATCAATCCCATTTTCGTGATAGCTTACGTCTGTTACCCCCCCCTTCCGAGCATAGGCCGCCGGCTAGCATTTTCCAACCTACTCTGTCAAGGGCCTTCTTTTTTAGTTCTGCCCAATTGTTATTCATTCTTCTCATGTCCCACTCAAATTCTCGACGTAACGTGTTCTTTGGTCTTCCTCTTTTCCTTTGTCCTCGGGGATTTGTCTTATGACGCAGTCGGGTATTTTCCCCAATGTTTGTCCTACACACTTCCAGCTCTTCTTCTTGATTTCTTCCTCTGCTGGCATTTGGTTTGTTCTCTCCCACAGTTCTTTGTTGTTGTATCTTCTGGTTGATGGCATTCATAGTTCTCCAAGTTTCCGTCCCATACAATAGTAGAACTGTCTTAACATCTGTGTTGAAAATCCTGACTTTGGTGTTTGTCGACAGTCGTTTTGAGGTGTACATGGTCTTCAATTGTAGAAATGTTGTCTTCGCTTTGCCAATCCATGCCTTCACATCTGCATCAGATCCTCCTTGCTCATAAATGATTCTTCCCAAGTGTGTAAAGGTTTTCACATCTTCCAATGCTTCTCCATCAAGTGTTATTTGGTTTTTACATTTATATTTTTTTGTACTGTATCAGATGACGTCGCTTTTTCTCTTGTGTATGTTGAGACATACTGCTGCACAGGCTACTGCTACAGTGGTCGTCTTCTCCTGCATTTTTTGTTGTACTTGGGATAGAATGGCTAGAGCATCTGCCAAGCTTAGATCGTCCAGCTACATTCGATTCATGATAAATATGTTTCAATTATTAATGTCAGAATCCATTTTATTCAAATTTCAAAGTTTTTAAATCACTTCTTTTAACTTACTTATTTGTCTCTGTAATCGTTGCTGCTTGTTTGAAACTAAAAAAAATCTTTAAGAGATCACGGTATTCATATTAAATTAACAATAATCCTGTGTCAATTTATTAACTTTTTTTTTCTAATGTTCTTTCTTTGTCTTCAGCCGAAGCGTAAATAATAATACACCTAATCATTGTTCTACACCATCAAATATAATCAATTCTGATTTATCATTTACTCGATCAGAATTGGATAATTTACGTCGTGAAATTATTATTGAACTGCGTAAAGAAGTTCAATTGGCAAAAAATGAAATTATGGATTGTAAATATGTTTTTTTTATTTTAATCATATTTATTCATTATTTTTATTTGATGTAGTTACTGTTGTTGTCACTGAAAAATATTTACCATTTAGATAAGTAGATAAGTTGTATGGAGATTGTTGTTTATTACTGAAATCAGGTTAGCCGTTCGCGCTCAGTACCCGAATTCCTGGATTCGAATCCTGTGAGTAGCCAGAGTCGCGTATGCGCACTGCCGATGAGTCCCATACCAGGACGAAATGGCCATCCAGTGCTTCCAGGTTTCTAATGAGTGATTCATGATTTCAGTAAGAATAGTTTTGTTAAAGCTGCGGAATCCCTTGGATAACTTGTATTTGTTGGGGATGTTGGATCCCTAGAACTCGCTCGATAAATATCCTTATCTTGGATTTATTTCATGGACCGATCAGCTGACCTTGAGATCACATTTCCCACCAGGAAAATCCTTGGCTGTGATTGGTTACTGTGTTATTTTAGTGTGCTATTTTTGTGACTGTCCCAAGGAGTATAAATAAACGCAATTTGAGTGCTTGGATTCATTGTGTGCTGGCCAGGTGTTTGTAGAATACAGTTATTACGCTATATCAAAACTTCTTACTGATTCGATTTCGTCAAGGGATCACAGTAGCCAACCTGGACGCTGGTTCCTTGTTTTGTTCTCGTTATTCGACTAAGGTGAACTCCTAATAGTTTAAGCATACCTAGAGACGAGCATAACAGTATTTGATACAACTAAACATAAGTAAGTTAGCCTGTTAATCCACGTAGAGCCGATAGATCGACCGGAATTCTCCAATCAGTTCTGTTTGTAGGCTAATGATGCATACATACCCAGCATAATATGAATTGATTAAGTCATATAATTACTTTACAGGACGTAATAACATATCATAAACAACTGGGGAAAAAAATCTATTTCATGAGTGATTTACACTTCAGTCAATTAATCCATTGCCTTCCATTATCAAGTTTTCATCATGAGCGTTGACACTCGTTCAACCATCGCTTCTCTCAACACGTGATATTCTATTCACCAGTGTAAGGGGCAGATTTAAAGCAAGCTAGTATTGACCAGACCAAGACATGGCATCACATTCTATGAACCGTATTGATAGATGCAAACAATTTGGTTAAGGTTCACAATCTTATCTCGACCAAATGGTTAGATACTTTACGGGTGACATGACTTAAAACCGGTCGTAGTAGTGACGTTGATGAATTCTTCATGGAATTTTCTTCAGTCCTGTGCTTTAAGACTAGACCATATATTCTATAGTGTGAAGCCATTCTATTTTCTCTAATCATATCTTTTATCCCCTTGATCTTTTACACTAACACTGATAGTATCACTATTCCCATCATTGCTGTGGTACTCTCATCTTAATAGCATTATTTGCTTGTGTACAGTATTGAAGGTAGCTGCTACAAGGTCCGTTTTATATCATATAGATCAATAATGCCGTGTGTACAGCACATCTGTTTAAGTTAACACACATCCTTACACATTAATGATCCAACACAAGTTACCAAGAGAACGATAAACTTTTGAAATCAATCAATCATTGTTAGACCACTATTAAAAAACCTGGAAGCACTGGACGGCCGTTTCGTCTTGGTATGGGACTCATCAGCAGTGCACATCCACGACTCGAACCCAGGACCTTCGGTCTTGCGCTCGACCTTCTGTATTGTGCGTGAACGCCTAACCATCGGACCACTGGGCCGGGATCCAACGGTGTTAATGTCTAACTCTGACTGATCTAGGGATTTTGCACGACCTCACCTATTCGTCTTTGGTAGTAACTGCCTACACCCGACAGGTTTGAACTCCATTGGTCACGTCTTCTCACTAGAACTCTAACAACGATTGACTGATAATTTTAAATGTGTAAAAACACAAATCTCCAAAACTCTAACTGAAAATGATAAACTTCTTCCATCTAACCTATGCGGTCACCGTGGTGTTCTGCTCTTCAGCATAAATAAAATCCTAAACACTATCATTCGAGACATCAAAATAAAAATGTAATAAAGTCTGTGCTCGATAATATCAATTGACTTAAATCATGCCACATACCTTCAGACGTGTGTGTGTGTATATACGTCCATTTGTAGTTAGTTATTAAAGTGCAACCAATTATGCAAACATACATTTCTTCACAGATAACAATGAATGATATTCATAATCCTTATAATCTGTCATTCATATTTTTTCCTTCATCACATTTTCAAGGTATCAAATTGTATAAAGCTGTTTAACCCTGGGGACTACTACACGGTCGTTCGACGATCTCATGGCACTTTATGGAATAAACATACAACTAACTGTCCTACAAATAGTGAATATTGAATTATATTCTGTGCTAATTTATTTTGACGCATCAGACAATTCCATGATTGTTGTTAAATTTTTTTTTAGTTGAACATTTGCTTTTCTCTTCTTTGTTTGTTTGTTCAATTCAATTTCTGCTATGTTGGTGATGTTGAAGCTTTGAAAACAAATTGCACATTTAATTGCTTTTTTTTCCTTTTGAAAAAATGTATTCAATTGTTTTTTTCTCTTGAAATTTCAATTATTTTATTCTCCATTTCTTTGGAATTTATTATTATTACAACATTCCATTTATTTTTAATGTTTTTGCCTGGAACCCTGTTACTTACAAGCAAAGCATTGTTAACTTCTTATTAGCATTTCTGTTTGTTCAAGTCAACTCATACACACATGTTCAGTGGTGTTGATTCTATTTCAATTTAAGTTATTTCCTCCACTGTATCGTCGTCATTCAATCTTGCAAAAAAAAAGGTTGAATGTATTATCAATTTCTAACTGTTAGTGTATTTTCTCTATTTAAATTAGTTAAAGCTTTTTCCTATTAATCCAATTGCCCTACTGTCTGTCACAATCTAATTATTACTACTAATATATACAAGTAACTAGTTCACATTTATATTGCTTAATAAGTAAGTAACTATGTGTATCTCTTTAGTTATCGTTTGCACTCACTGTTATCCATCTAAATAGATTATTTTATTTGGTTTGAGGATTGGAAACAACTGCATATGTGTACTAAACATTTTTACACTCAAAAAAAACAAACATGAAGGTGTGTACAAATAGCTGAAATCTTTGTTTGTATCTCTTTGTTTTATCATGAATTAATTTCTTCATCATCAATGGTCTATTTTATGTAATATGCATTTTATTGCATCTTGTACACGTATATGTTACATTACCTTTGGTTAGTATATATACATATATATGTATATGTAGGTATTGTTCAATGTCCATTACTTTCATTTTTATTTTATTTAAACACCTTGTTCATCAATTTTCTTTTGAAATGATGATGCAAATATGCATACACATAATACATATATATATATATTCTTGTATAATATGTTGACAGTTAATTAATCTTACTTAGTAGTGGTGTATTGAAGGAGAACACAGGTGAGGGCAACCGAATTGTATTTATCGCAAATTGCAGAGTTACTCAGTAAAAGAGGAAAACCATATCGTAAACGGTTAATTTGCAAATCTTCAATCCATCATCAATCCATTGTCTGACATTTCACTATTCATGCGTTTCATACAAATTCCATTGTGTTCCCAATCTTCCTTTCTTGATCTTCCCCCATCTTCTGTTGTCAGACATTACGTTTACACTCGCGTCATATACTACTTATAAGTAGAGCGCACCACAGTGGTAGTAGCAGTAAATGGGTCATCAGTGGAAATCAGGTATTTATAATTTGTCATTAAACTATCAAACTAAGTTCGATTTCGGGTGAGGGGGCGCGGTAGAGATAAACAAAGGCTAAAATATCATAAATAAATTATCTGCATCCTCATGGTTGCAGATTTTCACTAGTTTACTAAGAAATGTAAATCCATTGTGAAATCGAGTCGTATAATTTAGTTTCTACGATGAATGCTGAGTCGGTAGTTTGTAGTCAATATTTTAGACAATGAAAAGACAATAATGATATCTCACTAATCAAATTAATACCTAACAAAATCCGCATAGGATAATTAGACATTTTCTCCATTGTAACACAATAATCCCGATAAAGTGATCAGGAACAATTGTTCGTTTTGATATTCTATACTCTTGAATAACTATTTACATACAAATTGTCTAAACTTCATCGAGAAATCATGAAACTATTTGGTGCTTTTTATTATTGTATATTTTTATTGAAGAAGAAAAACAAAGTAATGAATGTACAAAATAACTTTGGAAGTAAAAACTTCAATTGCTAGATTGATCTTGTTTTTCCTCTTCATGAACTTTAGCTGCAGCATTAGCGCGTAAAACATCACCAGGATTAGGGTATGGACGTTGTTGAAATAATGGTCCAGATGCAGTACTGTCGACACCTGTCTTAGCCGATGGTGCTCCAGTAACTCCTTCTAAACCTGAACTCCATGTTCCACGTGGTATATCACCATAAGACGCTGGGTCCATTGGGTCTAAAGGTCCAAGAGTTGCTGCACGACCTTCAAGTGTGTAGAAGGGTCATAAGAAAAAAATATATTATGATAGACAACAATGTGAATAATTATATGTCGGTCACTGCTAATATCCTAATTCGACATTTTCTGTGTTAAATTGGTGACGCTCTGTAATCTCGATTGGATAGTTTCTGACCAAAGCTTTGGTCAAACTGTATGGATTGAAAACTTTGAAATTCGAATAGAAAATCCGAATTACATGGTAAATATTTGAGGATTCCGTTATATCCAGATAAAGACTAAAGTGAATAGTAACTTAAGAATCCAGTTTATGGACTATTGTTGTATATAGTCTAATTGTATTATTACCAAGTAACTAGAATATCATCTATAAATATTCCTTGTATCATGAGCTCTTGAATAACTTATTAACTTCATTCCTAATCTGTTGCTAGTTTTCTATTCGCAGTCTCCTTTGCTCACAGCTACTTATTGTCTCATTCATATGTAATGTGATCTGGTTTCGTGTGTGTTTAAAGGAATATATAAAATAGAATAACGAGGAAATTCTTTGACTAATGGTCATTAGCCGTCGTTTGAGCATAGAGTAGTCGAGTCTTCCGTCCTTGTTGTATGTTCATTCGTTACAAAAAGGTCATGTACTTATTAGTTGGTGAAAAGGCATAACAGATACATTACGGGTCCTTTAACAGAAAAAATAAGCACTTACACTGAACCTTAATGTCTTATATTTCTACTTCAAACGGGCTTTGGTTTACATCAACAAAGCAGTGAAATAAAGGCTATACAGTCATCGGCGATCCAAAGACAAGGAACAGTTCGGGAGAAATACTCCGACCGATTATAAAGATCCTCGTTGGATTTCGGACAGTAGATTAATGTGACCAATGGTTTAAGGATAAGTAACACATTCGGATCTAGTTAGTCAGCGAAGGTTTGAAATCTCATATCTACACCTAATGCCCTTAGCTTTCTCAACACCATTACTCACTCAGTAGTTTCAGCATACTCAAACAATGCTTCGGATGCATTTCCGATCGCTTTTTTAAGTTATGCTCCACAAAATTAAATCAATATACAGCAAACTACTGCGTAGTACAATCATTTTCTTTATTGATAGATCATTATATCGATGGGTGCTGAAGTATATTAGGACTTAATGCATAACATAACATCAGTTCACTGTATATTATGGAGCTTTATGTTTCTTAGTTCCTAATCATCTGATAAAAAATGAGCGAATAGAGACTAATATAAAGAACCAATCAGAAGTGGCCATTTGATGAAGATGAGGAATGTCTTGAAGCAGGAAAGCATATCACTGATCAGGGAATGGGTTCATTTTCCAGAAGAGAGATATATATGAGTATTGATATTATTCAATAGCCAAATAGACCCTCTTCCACTCTTGCTTTCTAATTCAAGTACCCAGTTTCGGGGGTTAGAACATTTCACGTTTAGATCTCGGACATCACCCATCATAACACACTGAGTGATACAGCTCGAAAGTGATTACACGAAAGCGAGAGTATGAAAGAGTATATATATATATATATATATATATATATATATATATATATATATATATATATATATATATATATGTGTGACAGAGAGCCTTGAGGAAAAGCTAATAGTGAAGAAATGCTTCTTTGTATTGAATATAGAAATGGGAATGTCAATGTTTATCTTTACTACACCTAAAGCATTGCACTACTAGATGCTGGATGTTCAACAGGTTAACTTGTTTTCATTAACTGAATCTCATCCACTAATATCATTATGATGATTGCTACAATTGTGAACCTACTGTTTCCAATTTATTGATTTTTTCACAATATGCCAAAATGAAATACGCTTATAATAATAAACCTTGTGATTTTTGATTGGAAAATTACTGGACAACTGATATTACTTAGATCAAGTCTACTACTTCTTTTGGGGTAATAATAAAATAATTATATTTAATACTGTATAGTTCCACTTACGTTTTCTATCTCTATCCCTATATCTAAAACGATTATTATTACTATTATTATTATTATCAGATGTATCTGCTAGTCGATCCCAACTGGATGCAGTAGTAGTAGTAGTAGTAGTAGTAACACGAGTGCGATCATCCGAGTGATTATTCACTTGTGGTGAAAATAATAAAGGCGGTCTAGGTAGTTGAATCCATTGGGTCGGAGGAGGAGGATACATGAGATTAATTGGTAATGGTGGTGGTGGTGGTGGTGGTGGTGGTGGTGGTGGTGGTGGTGGTGGTGGTGGTCGATGCTCATTCGTGGGGTTTTTCAAGTCAGAATCCATTTCTTCAGCACTCTGATTATGAATGTTGTTATTGTTGTTGTTGTTATAATAGACGTCAGATAAAGGAATTCCATCGGGTGATTCTTCATCTTCATTCTCTAATTGATTATAGTCGTTCAAATTATTAGCCATATCAGATAATTTTTGTGTTACAATTTCATGTTCATTAGTTGATTGAATGAATTCATTATATTCATTAGATATATTCCGTTGGTGAGTATTTTCTAACTCGGCATCTTGCCAACGAGATGAATTATTTCGTTGTTTAAACAATAATACTCTATTTGTATCATGTTCAGGAGATTTAGATAGTTCACGTCTAGATCGTTTGGATTCTTCTAGTTGATCAGAATCATTATCTTCACTTCCGCTACTTGATCGATTACTTTCAGAATCACTAGATCTACGCCGTGAATCTTTTCGTTCTGCGGCGAAAACTGCGGCAGTGGCAGCTTCAGCTGCAGCCCTAGCTGCGTCACGTTCACGCAACGTATTCGCTCGAACAATACTACCAGGCTGACTGATCTTAGCACGTGGATGTAATGGAGACAACCAGCATACATCATCTGTTTTAGTGTTCCAGTAATAAAATCTGTAAAGAAGAAACATTTTATGATCAATAAGAAAAGACAGAATTACAAATAATGAATCAATAAAAATGAATTCAATTGATTTACATGACCTTTTGTGAATGCGGTTGCATTTAGAGAATTTACAACAATGTATTAGTGTGAAAGAGAACCAACCCATTAACCATAAACGTTTATAGTTGCAAATTTATTTCTTAATCCTTTCCAGTTAGTTATGCTGTTATGCTAACCATGTTAGTATAAACATGCAAAACTCTATAGAGTGATACAATGATTATTTCAGTCCATTACATGTCGTGTTTACTGAAGTCTGTTAGGTGAAATGGAGATATCTCTAACAACATAATAATTGTTAATTATAGACCATTATAACTTACTGAAATCATATGATACATCACATTGTAATAAAGATAATAGAAATGTCCTAAGTTTAACAATAATAAAATCTATCCATCGAAGAACTATGTCTGAAAAGAAATCCGAGCATTTTAATAACCAAAGATATGGACGGCGATTTTTATCATCATATTAGAGATCAGTTGAAAGACTAGTGAAAATCAGGAGGCATCAAAACATTTTTTCTATCCCAGATCGAGGCCCTTTGACGATATTTACTTTCGATTAACGGTAGGATAGAAACCAAATTCTTCAAATCTTACGGACAGCATATTTTAAAACTAATACAAACTAGATAATAAGTATTGAACTTACCTTCCAGTCACTGGATCACCAACTTCAATCCAATGGCTTGGAAGTGGATAACGACGCAGCATTCTGCTTTTGAGACGAATATTTGTTAGATCAGTGTTGAACTTTCTTCGTCCGTACCGTTCATAACAGTACGGTGAACATATATGATATGGGTTAGTTTGATTAGGGCATTCAGCACATTCATGAATTAAAACTCCATTCTCAATGATAGGAACAGGACTGACTGTGTAACATTTCTTAACGTTAAACGGTTGATCAAAAGATACTGGCAATACTGGTTCACTTTCTTCATCATAATTCTCTGCAAAAACTTCCTCCACAGCTAAATTCTAATTAATAACTATAATTAAACCTACCTTCCTCTTGTGGATCAGCGGAAACAATACCACGTTTTTGAAGTCGAGCAAGAAGGGCTGGTGGAAGAGGCATGTTAGATTATTCTAAAAGCAGGAATAAATGCAAATGAAACAATATTAAGATAAAGTCTATTTAAAACCGAACTGATTTGAATTATTAGAAAATAATTATTAGCAATACCATAACAGTGAATAACATACATGCAGTATTATAAACACGATATTACATTCACCATATATGTTAAAACTAACGATGGATATTTGCTATAGATCAGTGAACTTCAGGTAACGGAGCAGTATCGCGACCTCTCACAGTTAGAATGTTGTGGCTCAAGGTCTCAGTCAGTCAGTCAGTCAGTTGCAACGTAGAACTTCGTACGTAAGTACATCAGTTCATGTCGCCATACCACATCAGCACAGAGATGTAATTGTCAATTCAAATCCAATAGTAGAAGAGGTAGTAAAGGTATTAGAAGTAATCGGAGAGGTTAGAATTAGAAGATATTATTCAAGAAGTATGATTCAATGAGAAAGGTTTAGAAAGTCAAAACTAGAGGAGTTGAAGAATCCAGAAGATTAGCATTTGAGAGAACACAAAGAATAAATGCACCGGCGCCATTGCGAACAATTTTGAGCCATGTCATTCAAGGTCTCTAACCATCGATTATTATCATCTCGCGGACCCCAACCAGGTAGTCGACAGTTACCGACATGGCTCAGTCCACTCGTCAATGACTTCATGGATTTCTGCCATGTTTTGGTTTGGCCGCCCCTAACTTTCTTCCAGCCTACTCCTACACTACAAAACAAAGCTCTTCTGGTTCATAAACAAATAACTGCAGAATTTGGTTATCACTAAATTAAGTGTGGATATCACGAGTGTTCACTGAACTATTTCTATAGTTATTTCAGGCAATGAACACTAAACGTCTTAGCAGTTGGGATGTAGAGCTTAGAAACATAAATGGAAAGCTAATGTACCAGGATGCTGACCATGGCCTGGTGGTCGATCTCACTGATCTCTAATTATTCATTTAGAGTTTAAGTAGCCGCATGATAACATTTGTCCTCAAAATAATTTTGGTTCAAAGCTAAGCGTGCATAACTGCAATTTACTATCGAATTGCATTCTTATGAAGAACTGCTTTCTGTGGAGGTCAGATGGGTGGTTTTATCTAATGCTCATCACTTTTGCTACTTTAATTCAAGTAACGAAGGTGATCCTGATAAGCTTCTACTTTTCTGCAATTTTTTCTTCCTAAGTTTATAACTTCATGCACAGTACGCACACAGTGAAGTCCTGAAAACTGAAGATGCTGAAAAACTCCACAAGCTTCACTCAAATAAATTTTCTAGCGATTTTTTTACTTATATGTAATCCACAAACTTAGTATATTTGGGTCATTTATACTACATCAGCATCAAAAAGCTTCAACTACCAAACTGACGTTCTTACTTATGCAAATGTGATAAGAAAAATAAGAGAATAGTGTTAAACTCGTCTACAGCATTGAAATCGATGTGGAAAATTATAAGCACAGTGCACAGATTTATCAAGTAACAACACGGTTGGCGCAAAATTAATCCTACCAAGTCAGAGTTATTAATCAAGCCGCAGACTAAACTGGTGCTTTCGGGACTAAGTCAAAGCGTACTACAACACCATCATTCAGTACATCTACTCCTAGTGCTGCACCACTTAACGATAATATGTTAGACATGATTGCCTAGCTCAACGATGACCAGGACTCAAATGTTATATTTGACATATCGTTTAAACAGCATAAGAATCTCTTCATATTTCGTTTTGCTGGGATGGATGACGCATGTTAATTTCGATTACTACTTTGTCGATTGGGTTCAGCTGAACTGCAAACATTTTGTAACCTAATACTACATTTCAGAATCCACACATCCATTTTTTCTCAGTGATAACGAGCAGTCAATAAACCAACAGTCCGATATGAGACACAGACGATTGAAGTTTGTAATGAACGAGACTGATGACTTTCTAATATTCTTAATATTGTGACCTTGCTTTTAAATTGGCATGCTTGTGACATTGTTATTTGACGGTAAATTTTATTATTATCATTATTGTTATTATTATTATTAATATTATTATTATAACGCATGTTGGTATTGTCAGTAGCGAATTTGAACGACTCCTGTTACAGTTGCCGACGGAAGTCTAGTTCAAATATTAGTCACCAAAATGCACAGATGTGAAGACAGATTTTGCATTCAGAGCTTTCGCTCTCTACTACTCCGTGACAGATGTCATTGTGACCAGTCATTTGTTTCGAAACTACTGTGGAAACTGGCACTACTCTAACGACATTCCGTTGTTTATTTTTCATGACTTCCACTCAAAGCTATTTGTTACTCACAGATCTCCCTGGCCTACACAGTGGTAACGGTTTTGTCTGGGCCTTTGAATACGGAGTCTTGACCATTAAAATCTAGTGATATTTCACTCTGTTTGTTTCAAAAGAAATTTATCATTCACATGATTCGTAATCGGATGTTTGAATTCTCACGTAACTGTATTTACAAGACTGACACATTCCTCACTGTAGGTGCTCAACTCACCAGTGCAACTACCGTCACTAGTCTTACTGCCCAACGCCAGAAAATCCACGCTTCCAAGATCAGTGTCTTACTCAAACAATAAAATATACATAACGAGTGGGAGTTAAGCTTAGAACACCATCGTAAGAGGCAGGTTTTTAGTTGGGTACACATAATGTGGGAGCATTTGTTATAATAATGACAGTTCATTCCTTACGCAAAAGAAAGAAGCAGTTTGCCTGTAAACACTCATCAGCATAGCCAGTCTTTATGAACATATTTAAGGGTGAAGACATGGACAAAATACATAAAATCCTAAGTAATGAGGACGTATAAAAAGACCAATTCGAACGAAATTCTAACCTTCAAGCAAAATGATTAAACTTAAATCACCGTTTGCGAAAACAACGTTAATTCACGCGCGCTAGGTCATTCAATGCATACAATATCTTTTTCACTAGCTAGTGTAAACCGATTGATTTCTTTGCGCTCGATTCTTGTTCTTTAGGTAAGGTCACAGGTGTTCGGTAATGTCCAATGGATGGAGGTCTAGCCACTTGATCACACTAATTCTAGTCAGTTGGCAGTTGGTTGTGAGTTTGTATGTCTCGGCATTTGAATGAAAACGTTTGTTTCAGTGCAGTAGGGTTTCTGGATACCAGCAGCTATCACATTACCAGACCGGAGATCAGTTAGTTACAATTTGGAGAGTAATAAGGATAATAAGGATACAATTCCAATGGTAATATGAATAAAATTTCAGAACTGAGTAATATATAGATGATTTAGTTTATTAATTGGTAATGAAGATTGGGAGGGAGGATTGAAGTGTAAGCACGGGAGAGGAGACAGAGATAATAGGTGAGATAGATTAACTAAGTGACCTGAGGAGATGGCAATGGGAACAACTAGCAGGTCTCAAGATATGCATCATGAACAGCTTGTCCAGGAGGGAGATGATAATCCGTATGTGAGTACGTGATTATCAAGTCTCTTCTTAAAGCTGTCTACTGAGGGGGCTGTGGTCACCTCGACTGGGAGAGCACTCCAAGTTGCGACTACTTGCAGTGAGAAAAGGCGTGCACGACCCTGAGTATTCGCTCTTTGATGTGCAATATTTCGAGGATTGCCTCGAGGGGAGTGGTGGTGATGCATCGGTAAGATGCTCACGTTGGGATCGTTTTGCGTGCTTAATATGTTGTACGCCATAATCAGATAACCTCTGATTCTTCTGTAACTCAATGGAAATAATCTCAAGTGCTGGAGTCTATCTTCATAAGGCTTATTTTTCAACCCTATCACCCATTTGGTTGCTCGTCTCTGCACTCGATTCGAGAGATTTATGTCTCTTTTGAGCAGACGGGGGTGCGATGACATTGTGAACCTCCAGGTGTGGGCACGCGTATGTCTGAAATAATGTTAATAATAATTCTGGGGTGAGAGCACCAAGTTGTCCTCGCATAAAGTGAAGAGTCGCATTTGCCTTGGCTGCGTCCCCTATATAGTTTGAGCTGGTGCGGAGGCTTTCTGTGGTTATCAAACTGAGATCGCACTCTGAGGGGAAATTAGGGAGGGGACTTCCATTGAAGGTGTAGATCGTTTGCGCCATGTGGGGCAGAATATACATGACGTGGCACTTCGGTTGGTTGAGTTTTAAACCGTTTCTCACTGCCCATTGCTCAATAGATGTAAGGTCCTTTTGAAGCTGAGTCGAATCCTCTTCGCTTCTAATGGACCTCCGTATCTTCTCATCGGCTGCGTACATCAATGCCGGTGAGCTTACTGAGCCTAAAAGGTCGTTAATAAATATCAGGGGGAGAAGTGAACCTAAGATGGTCCCCTGTGAAACTCCCGATGTGGATATTCGCCGGCTCGCGTGCACTCTATTTACCTTGGCACGAAACTTTCTATTCTCAAGGTAGTTTCTGAGCCAAGATACGAGTGGGTCAGCGAAGGCCATTCGCACAACGTTTGCAATTAGGCGTGCGTGGGGTACCGTGTTGAAGGCTTTTGCAAAGTCGAGAAATATTACGTGCACCGGTATTTTACAGTCCAAGCAGGATTTCGAACTGTCCCATGCTATGAGAAGATTTGATGTACACGACCTGCCTTTTCGAAACCCGTGTTGAGCTTCATTGAGTATTTTATTCTAATCCGTGTACTCCATCATTTGTTCGTCCACCAGCCCTTCCATAACCTTTGATAATATTGGTAGTAGTGCGACTGGTCTGTAACAGGCCGGGTCCTTCCTATCTCCACCTTTGAAGGTTGGAGAGAGAGTAGCTTGTTTCCCATCATCTGGGAGAAGAATCCTTAAGCCATTAAGATAAAGATTTCAGAACTAAGTTAATAAATGGATAATTCAGTTTATTAATTGTTATTGAAGATTGTGCGGGAGGAACGGAGTGTAAACGGGGTCAGTGTGTAGTGCCTCCACATATATTCCAGTTCTCTTACATCTAACTTGGTTAAGCCCTTTCGATTTATTTATTTAACCAAGCCATTTGTATAGCAACAACTCATATGTACCATTGTTATTTTTTATTATCTGCTTTGTATGAGCTTGTACGACTGAGCATTGCTTGCGCTTACGCACTTACTCATCCTTTTCACTTTAATGTTAATCTCGTAATATTCCCATGAACTCACATGATTTGTATCGCTTGTCATTTGACCTTGTCAATCATTCGTCGCTTTTATTCATGTGTGTGCATACCTATTTCGCTTGTCATATGTCTGTCTTATTTATGCCCGACTATATATTCTTAGTCATACTCTATCTCTTTGAGTTGGCTCTTAGCCTTCTCCAATTCGCTCCTCTGCTATCCTTATTGTGGTATGCTACAATAAACGTATACGATACTTGGAGTTCATCTTCTGATTTATAAACCGAGCTTAAGAATACTCAGTAAATCGGCACACTACAAGTGATATATGGATTATGAGCGAGATGGATTTAGTTAGTGTTCTGAGCAAGTTTCAAGACGTGCGTCAGGTACAGCTCATCCAAGAGAGAGCTGATAATCCGTATGTGAGTACATGTTTATCAAGTCTCTTCTTAAAGCTGTCCAACACTTAAAGTAGAGTTAACCGATTGATTTCTTTGGGCTCGCTTTTTGTTGTATTGGCGCGGTTCTAGGTATCCGATAGTATCCAAAGGGTAGCGTAGCCACTCGTATGCTCTATTCCCAATGAATTTGGCAGTTATTGATGTCAATTAATCACCGAAACTGCTTAGTTCGTCTGCACTGCTGTTTATAGACGATGCACGTTCATGGGGAGAAATAAGTATTGAGACTGACTATTTTGATCTCCAGGCCGAACTAGACGAATTAATTAGACAGTCCTAATATTGGGGCCTGAAAATTAAAGCAAGTATGTACCGATGCACACGGTAATAGCTACCAGTATACTGTCAACACTATATCGCTACTCTGTGTCCAGGAACAAAAGAGTAATAATAGTCTATGGCCTGTAAGCAATTACAAACCATAATGCCACAGCCGTCAAAGGATTTTCAGTATAATGGTCACTTCAACGAGTAGATGTTGCGGGTTCTATGACTCACATAAGTGAAACTCAACCTAAAGTAATGTTTCCAAGCAGCTAGTGCGTGCCTAACCCTAACCCTAACCATGTTGAGTGTTTGTCAAAGGTCAGAACAAGGAATTTTTTGCAACCATTAGTTTTTATTTGACACGTTACTGACAGACTTTATGAATAGTGGACGATTTTGAAGATGGATGTTTCGACGTCGAAACTAGGATTGGGGTCTGCCGGATTAATGTCAGTAGCATTAGTCATCCCGGTAACCAACTAATTATCACTGACGGCTGCAATTATGTTCATATATACTCAAATCCTGTAGATGACCTCAGTTTCCACAATGTCAGCAAAATAGTGTTGGGTAGATTTTCAAATATGATGATCGGCTAGAGAATGGTGTATACGGAACGGTCAGGTGGTGTGTGGCAAATTTGATGTTTGATGGACTTCAGGGACTTCGGGACGGTATTTTGTAAAATCCATTTTGAAGGCTTTGTTTGTGAAAATCCCTCCAAGTATACATTTTTAATACGTCCTTCAGTTCTACATTTTGTTAATCTGTTCAATTCCATTTTGACGTGATAAAATTTTTATTCTATTACAGTTTCGATTTTTTTTGCCTTTAGTGAGTTTATGTTTCTTTCTGAACTGCATTATATTGTTTAAGCTGATACTTAGTCATGGCGGCAGCCATAGTGGTTTGTTCCTTTGTTGATTGAAGCGGTTGCACTGACTGGAATTGTGCATTTCGATTGTGAATTGGAGCACTCTTCCAGAATTGGAAACACTCTGTGTTATTTAGTAACCGAATATCATCGGTCAAACGAATCTGATCCATCCAGGAGGGATAGAATAACTTTTATTTTTCTGATTGACTGATTAATTGTGCAATCGTTGAAGGAATAACTAATCGGTAATATCGTTTAGGTAGTGATGTATATTTATAATGATGATTAATATTGGAAGCGTTATTTACCCCAATCACTTGTTTTGGATTTAAACTGAGCAAGACGAGTATCTAAATTACCCGGACAGTTATTCAATCCAAACCTCAGTTTGAATCCTACATCCACATCCGTAATAAACTAGAATGGTGTGACGCTGAAGATTGATCGTCATTTATTACTCGTTTTCCATTTCGTCTGGCATCACTTTAAGATCTTGATTCAACTGACTATGTTTGAAGATGACAGGAGGCTGGATTGCCTGTGTTAGTCCTAGCAGTCATGATCTCATTTCCTTGCTTTTCAATGCGTCAACAGGTGAAGCTTCAGTCAAGTGTTTGGGTAATGATGATTCTTTATGAAAGTAGGTAGTCAGGTTTAACACGGTCAAAAACGAAATATGCCGGCGGGCGAAACGAGTCCTTCCTTTGCTAATTTAAGGCAGATTACACGCGCATTAGAGAGCACCTTCAACGTTCCTTATGGCCACGGGGATGGTGGGGGCTAACAGTGGATAGTCATCGACAGACAGTAGGAGATATCATCCAGAATGCTGTACTAAACAGTGTGCCCCAGGAGCATCGCACACCATGAAACATTACCATCAATATTATCGAAGGTAGTGGAAGGACTAATACATTTATTAGCAAATGTTAGAATGGGCTTCACTGACCACTCCTGACTTGGCACCTTGAGAACGGAAGGTGTTTTGCCAAAGCAGATAGAGTGCATGCGGTCTGGTTAGTTTCAACATCAGGAGTTTCACAGTCCACTGTCCTTCTAAATATTCAATAATAGCCTGTTAGACGAAATGAGACGAGCGGGACTGATTTACGCAGACGATGCAGTGGTCTCGAGGTTCATAAGAAATAAAGTGGATTCGACTGAGCTTGAAAAAGGATCTTAAATATATTGTGACGCAAACAACTAACGCCCTATTTGGGAATCCG